AAATGAAAAAGGAGAATAACAAAGGTAATAAACTCTAGATTACTAACCAAATTGGCTAAGGGTAAATAAAATTAGAGAGGTAAACATGAGGCTCAAGGATTGGTGTGGGAGAAATGAGTTCCAATTCATGGCATCCTGACACCAGTACTAGGGAAAGAAAGAGCTAGTCCGTTGGGACAGACTTGTGTTAAACCATGCTGGCATCAGTGTCCTGGAGATTCATATAATAAGGGTTGTGGATAGGGATTTAAGTTAATTAGAAGGGGGAAGTGTTCAGTTGAAGGGATTTCAAAAATTAAAAAGAGAGCAGAGGTACTGGGTAGTGAAGAGGAGAATGATAATCATAGTACGGCAGGAAGGGGTGGAAAATATATGCAGAAGAAATTAGAAATAGAGACACTAATAATGGTAAAAACACAAAGTTTAAGGCTCTATCTGAATGCACGCACCATTTGTAACAAGGTAGATAAGTTAACAGCACAAATAGAAATAAATGAACATGAATTAATAGCAATTACGGTATATGGTGACCAAGATTAGGAATTCAATATCCAAGGGTACTGATGTTCCAGAAGAATGGGCAAACAGGCAAAGGACATGGGGCAGGCTTGTTAATAAGAGGATGGCATCGGTGCAGAGGTGAGTTGTATTATAGATATTACAGATAATGATGTGGAATCAGTTTGAGTGGAAATGAGGAATAGCAAGGGAAAACATCACAGGGTGGCAGTCGTCTATAGGCCCCCACGAATTGCCTCACTGTAGGACAAAGTATAAATTGGGAAATAATGGAGGTGTATAAGAAGGTGTAGACTTATGTTTAAAAATGATATCTTCAAACCAGACCATTAAAGGCTAATCGTTGAAGATTAATTGGGCATGATAACGAGCAACTGAAGTAAAGTGGAAATGTAAATAAACAACAGGCCTAATTTAAAAACAGCCTATTTTGACTAGCGGGGGAAGCTGCCTGACCTTGAGGTTCAGTGGGAACTGTCTGCTTGTGCAGTGTATATGATGCCACCAGGTCTTGTTTCTCCACCTATGTTTGAGGGCTGGAAAAGTTCTGAAGGTGATACAAAATGGGGATTCAGCAGGTTACCAAAATAGCTTTAAAATCAGGGGCTCTGTCCCATTTTTTGGACTTTTCAGAGTCATGGACTTCACACCATCAAGTTGGGATTTGCATGACTGGTGCGGGGAATCAGAGATAGAGCTCCAAATACTGCCAGTACCAAAGTCACCAACGAACCGAAAAACAGAGAAACTCACTTGTTTAACCAAACTATATAACTTTATATTTTAGATGTATCAGTAGTATAAAATAACAATTATTAATTCATAAATGCATTACGTATGTTAACCATTTAAATTAGCTATATATTGAAGCATATGCTTCTTATTGTAACCATTTTGATCAGACCTTAAAAAACCTCGCTCGGCGCTTTTAGCCTATCAATATAGAAGGTCATTACAAAACTGTCTTCAGTGATTGTAATCTGCATATTGGTTGGATAAATCAGATAGGGAAGGGTAACGTGGAAGGCAGATTTCTAGAGTGCATCAGGGATTGTTTCTTAGAACAGCATGTTGCAGAATCTATCCACAAACAGGCTATTCAGATCTAGTAATGTGAAATGAGGTAGAATTAAGAAGACATCTTGTGATTAAGGATCCTACAGGAAGATCTGATCAAAACATGGTAGAATTTCAAATTTAGTTTGAGGGAAAGCAACTCAGGTCTCAAACCAGTGTCCTCAAATTAAATATTAAGGAAGAAATAGCAAAACATCTAGAAAAGGTTAATACAATAAAACAGGCACAACATGTTTTACAAATTTGCTGGAGTTCTTCAAGAATATAAATAAGGACAATTACAGAGGTCTGAAGAGTTTTGTAAAACAGGCTGGGAGAACAGACTGAGGGGAAAGTCAGTGGAGGAGCAGAGACAAGCGTAGAGTCAAAGAGTCATAGAGTCATACAGCATGGAAACAGACCCTTCGATCCAACTCGTCCATGCCGGCTAGTCATCCCAATTTGCCCTAGTCCCATTTGCCAGCATTTGGCCCATATTCTTCTAAACTCTTCCTATTCGTATACCCATCCAGTTGCCTTGTATATGTTGAAATTGTACCCGCCTCCACCACTTCCTCTGGCAGCTCATTCCATACACACACCACCATCTGCGTAAAAAAAACGTTGCCCCTTAGGTCCCTTTTAAATCTTTCTCCTCTCAGCTTAAACCTATGCCCTCTAGTTTTGAACTCCCCTCCCGTGGGGAAAACACCTTGGCTATTCAACCTATCCACACCCTTCACGATTTTATAAACTTCTGTAAGGTCACCCCTTGACCTCCGACCCTCCCAGGAAAATAGCCCCAGCCTATTCAGCCTCTCCCTATAATTCAAACCCTCCGGTCCCAGTAACATCCTTGTAAATCTTTTCTGCACCTGAAATGTACACAGTATTCTTAAAGTGGCCTCACCAATGTCCTGTACAGCTGCAACATGCCACCTCAACTCGTACACTCAAAAGTTCTGACCAATGAAGGCAAGCATGGCAAATGTCTACCTGTGACTCCACTTTCAAGGAACTCAGCAGATATTTCATAACACAAAGCAAAACCTTATTCTGGTCAAAAAGGAGGACTCAATAAGAAGAATGAATTATCCATCTACAACAAAGGCAGTCAAAGAGAGTAAAAAGACGAAGGCAGACAAAGTTTTGTAAATTAGTGACAGGCCAGAGAATTGGGCATATTTTAGGAACCAGCTGATTACAAATAAACTAAAAAGAAAATTGATTATGAAAGTAAATCACAAGGAATATATAAACACCAAGAGCTTCTGTAGGTAAACAAAAAGAGAGCAGCTAAAATAAAAGGTGGAAGATGCAACTGGGGAACTGACAATGGGGAAAGGAAAATGTCAGATCATTTAAAATAATGTTTGCATCGGTCTTCACGGTGGAGGACACTATAAACATCCCAAAGATAACAGATAAGCAAGATGCTAATGGGAGGAATGACACTGTAAAGATTCTGTCACGAGGGACAAAGTATTGAAAAACTAATGGGATTGAACACAGACAAGTCACCAAAACCTGACAGCTTGCATCCAAGATTTTAAAGGAAGTGGCTGCAGAGATAGTGGAGGCATTGGTTGGAACTTTTCAGAACTCACTGGATTCTGGGAGGGTTCCAGCTAATTCCTTCCAATTTAAGGAAGGACGGAGACAGAAAGCAGGAACATATAGACGAGTTAGTCTAACACCTGTCATTGGGAAAATATCAGGGTTAATCATTAAGGAAGCAATAGCAAGACATTTAGAAAAGGTTGATACAATCAGACAGGATCAATATGATTTTGTGAAAGAGCAATCACATTTTACAAATTTGCTTAAGTCCTCTGAAGTTATAACAAGCACAGTTGATAAAAGGTAAATGATGTAGTGTATGTGGATTTCCAGAAGTCATTTTGCACTGTGTCACATGAAAGGTTATGACACAAGATAGGAACTCACAGTATTGAGTGGTAAGGTATTAGCATGGGCTAACAATTGGTTAACACACACAATACAGAGTTGGAATTAATGGGTCTCTTTCAGGTAAGAAGACGTAACATCACCTATCAAACTATAACTGCAAGGTTTAAACAGGTTGTCACATTGAGCTCAGGTGTGCAATTACAGTTTACCATTTATAACTGAGAACTATTGTTCATCATAATCATCATCGGCTTGTCAAACCTGAAGTAACTGTGTCACATTTGCTATTCCTTCAGTCTTGGCTTTGTACAAAGTTCACTTCGAAAAACCTTTGATTTTCCAATTAAACTACTAGAGTACAGCATTATAACTGATTGGGGGACACATTGATTCAAATTTGAAAACATGAAAGTAACTGGGGGGAAAAAGAATGATATTCTTAAATTCTGGTTTTATTGCAACAATTGACCAAGAACAGCAGATTGCACTGTGGTATTCTAACTAATGGAACATAATCAGAAGTTCACCTTGCCTCTCCCTCATCTAAAATCCAGCTTTCTTACAGTATTACAAAGAATTCATCACAATAAGCAACATAATTCAGGTCAGGCAGACACAAGCTCAATATTCTGGTTTCTGCAAGTCTCTGTTATGACGGACAGGTAAGGTTACCACCTCTGATTGGATAGATTCCTGCAGATTTCGACGCATTGTCTCCAGCTTCCAACTACGTGACCAAAAACAGTCTTGATCCCACCATCTTTAAAACTAATACACAAAGCAATCACTGAAAACAGAGAAAATAAATAACATTTTTTAATGCCCTTATAGTTTTACTCTTAGATTGGTTGCAGTAGAGTTTAAACATTAACCTTCAGCTGGGGTTATCCTCCCTGGAGCAAAGGACATTGTAGGGCGATTTAATCAAGGTATACAGATTTTTATTTCTCTCTCTATGAGATGTACATCACTAGCTATGCAGAATTTGTTGCCCATTCCTAGCTGCCCTTGTGAAGCTATGTGGGGGGAGCAAATGCTGTTCCCAGTAGCTAATGGCACAAAGATGAAACGTAAAAGCTTTTGGCAAGAGATACAGGGCGTGGTGGGGGAAAGAACTTGGTTTTTACACATAAATGGTAATGAAAGAAGTTCAAGATGAATGCTTTCAAAAGAAAATTAGATGGACACTTGAAAGAAATGAACAGACAGGGTCACAGGGATAGGGTGGGAGGATGAGCCTAACTGGATTGCCCTATAGAAAGCCATTATGAGCCGAATAGCCATCTCCTGTTTTGCAATGACTCTAATTCTTGGAGGCGCCACAAAAATCCAAGAGGGTTGGCAACCCTAGCTACAGAAGCATGTTGAGTCATAAGGTCAGAGCTGCCCATTCCTACGCAACGGCAAACAGCGGAGGGAGTGGTTAGCAACTATACAACCAAAGTCTGAAACAGTTCAACCACAAGAGAGAAAAGAAATGTTCAAATTATACAAATGAATTGTCTTTATCCTACCTGTACAACTGTTTCCTCTTGCTTCCTTTCCCAATGATTCCACTGGCCTCTTGTCCTTGATCAAGACACAACCAGGCATAGAAGCTGAAGGCGTAGCCAGGCCAACGTTGAATTGTGGGTACCATGATCCCCGCCATGCTGTGGGATAGGTTAAAGTACTGTAGTGCATTATCCAAGCCCTGCTTTCGGGCAATGCCCAGTATTGCGCGTGTCACAGGGACGACATAGGGATGGGCCTCTTTAGGATTGTCCATCCTTAATAACCTCATCAACTGCAAGAGCTCTCCTGAGCTCAGTGACTGGCTGCCTAATGACCCTAGGAGTCCAATCAGATTCTCCGCACACGTACGATGTAGTCTCACATGATAGGTTAAAGTCACAAGGATACGGCGAACAATGTTGGCATTCACACAAAACGTGCGACTTTGACGGTTAATGCAGCATATCCTCTTCAGCCAATCAGAAACAAAGATTTGTAGTTCAAAAGAGTCCAGTTCAGGAAGCCATTGGATGAGTAGTAGTAGTGGCTGGACGTTGCTGATCCCTAGCATCCCAACAGAGGTATGTTCACCTTCAATGGCCTGCAAGCAGGAAATAACACAGCAAATGAAACCATGAACCACTGAATTTCCTTTACAACTGTAAGCATACACGACTGCAAATTGCACACAGGCAAGAGCTAAAGGGGATTGGTAAATCTATCATCAATCTGCGACATTCAGAATTAAATGGTACCCTTAAAGATTAAAACCAGATGCAATCTAACAACTTACTTCTTGAGAAAATTACCGTGATGGGAAAAGTGGTCCGTACTATTCAGATTAGGCTTTTGATAGGGTAAATGAGACAATCCATCACCATTCAAAGATAGTGCTTCATTTCAACCAATACATTCACAAATACCAACTGAATCAGTAATATAGGTAGTCGTCGAATATCACAGCATTTATGTTCCTGCAAATCATAGCATTGTGTGCTACTGGAAACACACATTCCCACAAAAACCTATGTAAATGTTTGGGTTACATTCCCTGATGTCATCCAGGCTAATATGACATATTTTTGTCAGAGTGGATTACCCTGATGCTGCACATTTTTACTCAATATAGTGAATAATACTGCATCCATTCCCTATGCTAAGGGATGAAATTAATCAAAATCATTAGTGGACAATCCTTATTACCATCCTTTATTGGACACTTGAAATAAGAATCATGTACATTACATTGCAAAATTTGCCATCAACTATGAAACTACATGTGATGTCAAGAAAATGAAGTTGAGAATAGTCCCAGCTCCTAGGTCTAGCTGGAAGGGTTGGAACAGAAAGCATAGAGACTCAGCAAAGAAATACAGTGCTCTGAGAAGTAGAAACAAACATCAATCATCTGTTAAAGGCCACCTCAGTATTGCTTATACATTTGTTAACATATTGGTGATCAACTGAAATTGCATTGTTGCAAATCAGGCACGTTATTGGAATAATGGGTAGTAAAGTAAACCCAGTGTTATGGCAAAACCATGTCATACAAAACTGTGGACAGCACTATCTGCACTGAATGATTCAAAGTGAGTGCTCTTCTGGGATCAGTTAAAAGATCAAAGCAATTTATAAAAGGCAATTTAAACCCTTTCTTTCACATTGAAAAGTTGAAAGAGCTTCCTGTGACCATTTTTCATATCTATATTTCTATATTTGTGGTGATAGTACAGGTTTTTAATTGTGCTAGTTAGCTTCTTTCATGGCACAGTAGTTGCAATTCTGCCCCAACAAGTTGAGGTAACCTCCTCTGCCAACAGAGGAAAAGGTCAGCATGATAACGTCCATACAACATGGAAACAGATCATTTGGTCCAACCAGTCCATGCCAAACATAATCCCAAACTAACCTAGTCCCAACTGCCTGCTTCTGGGCCATATCCCTCCAAACCTTTCCTATTCACATACTTATCCAAATGTCTTTTAAACGTTGTGACTGTGTCTCCATCTACCACTTCCTCACGAAATTCATTCCCTCTCCATATTGAAGAAATGTTCATTGCAATGACATTACTGTAACAGCAAAATGATTAGTGTTTTCACATTGACAGCAACCTCAGTATATGAAGGTAGACCTGCAAATTGGAGATATAGAGGTGGGTGTAGGTAGGATGTAAAAGCAAGAGAGCTAGATTATTTCTTTCAGCATACCATCTTTATTGCAGTAAAGTGTCCTACATTGCTTCACAGGAGCATTATCAAACAAAATTAAATTATGTGAAATAGAAAAGCAAATTAGAATAGATGACCAGAAGATTAGTCGAAGAGGTAGGTTCTAAGTATCATTTTAAAGGACATTTATATCCATCCCTCTGGTACCCCTAGACTAGGGTATTCTAATGCACCCTTTGCTGGCCTCCTGTTTTCTACCCTCCCTAAACTTGTGCACATCCAAAATTCTGCTGTCCATGCCCTAACAAGCACCAAGTCCCATTCACCCATTACAACGTAAGGTGGTGGTGTATGGTATTATCACTCGACTATTAGTCCAAAGACCCAGGCTAACGCTCTGAGGACTTGGGTTCAAATCCCATGGTTTTTGTAAAAATCCATCTGATTCACTGTACTAGGGAAGGAAATTTTTCATTCCTACCTGATCTAGCCTACATGTAACTCCAGACCTGTAGCAATGCAGTTGATTCATAAATGGTTCGAGCTAATCAGTTCAAGTGGCAATTAGGGATGGGCAAAAAAATGCCGATGCCCCTGAATGAAACAAAATCTTTGAGCTCTGTTTTAAACTGGCTTCTGATTAAGCATAGGCAGCAACCTTTCTACACAAGACCGCCATCATATGGCAAATCACATTTGCTGGGAATGGGGAAGTTTCACATAGTGCAATTTTTCTGATAGATGAAGACACCAATCTGAGAAAGGCAGATTCTATTAAGGGATTATGAGTTGTTCTACTTTTGGTGTTAGTGCCTGTTTCCGAGTCACCAATGATCATGCTACCAACATGTTAGCAACAGATGATGCCATCCTTTTCCTCTGTTGTCAGCAAGAGCCACCTGAGTGTGAAAATCAATGCTTCTGCCCTTCAGGTCAGGCTTGCAAGTATCCTTAAAGTGAACTTTTGGACGTCCTGCTTGTCCACAGTTCTGGCTACCTTGCCACACAGAAAATAGTTGGGTATGTGACAGTCTGTGAATTTTTTTTTTCTTTATTCATTCACAGGATGAGGGCGTCATTGGCCTGGCAGCATTTATTGCCCATCCCTAATTGTTCAGAGGGCAGTTAAGAGTCAACCACATTGCTGTGGGTCTGGAATCACATGTAGGCTAGACCAGGTAAGGATGGCAGTTTCCTTCCCTAAAGGACATTAGTGAATCAGATGGGTTTTTCCGACAATCGGCAATGGATTCACGGTCATCATTATATTCTTAATTCCAGATAATTATTGAATTCAAATTCCACCATCTTTGCCCAACTTGGCAAAGTCACCTATGCTTGATGATGGGCAGCATACCTGGAAGATATGCCTGTGAACGGGCTGCTGCATTTGTGATTTTGTCCTCCATGATGCCCAGAATATGCTCAAACAGTGAAAACAAAACTTGTTGACTTCCTTTCTTGATTGCTGTAAGTTGTCTATGTTATATAAAAGCTGCTGAAAACACAGACCTCAAACTGGCATCTTGGGGACCACTTTGCAGAACACCTATGCTCGGTTCGCACTAAACAACTGCACCTCCCAGTCGCGAACCATTTCAACTCCCCCTCCTATTGCCATTCCGCAGACAACATGTCCATCCTGGGCCTCCTGCAGTGCCACAACGATGCTACCCGAAGGTTGCAGGAACAGCAACTCATATTCCGCTTGGGAACCCTGCAGCCCAATGGTATCAATGTGGACTTCACAAGCTTCAAAATCTCCCCTCCCCCTACTGCATCCCAAAACCAGCCCAGCTTTGTCCCCGCCTCCCTAACCTGTCCTTCCTCCCACCTATCCCCTCCTCCCACCTCAAGCCACACCCCCATCTCCTACCTACTAACCTCATCCCGTCCCCTTGACCTGTCCGTCCTCCCTGGACTGACCTATCTCCTCCCTAACTCCTCACCTACACTCCCGTTTACCGGCTCCATCCCCACCTCATTGACCGGTCTGTCTCCTCTCCACCTATCTTCTCCTCTATCCATCTTCTATCCTCCCCCTCTTTCCCTATTTATTTCAGAACCCCCTTCCCCTCCCCCACTTCTGAAGAAGGGTCTAGGCCCGAAACATCAGCCTTCCTGCTCCTCTGATGCTGCTTGGCCTGCTGTGTTCATCCAGCTCTACACCTGGTTATCGCAGATTCTCCAGCATCTGCAGTTCCTACTATCTTGATCTAAACAGTCCATTTGATATAGTTCGATGCATGCTTCATAAGTTGACTAAACATTATCACTGTATTCCCTGTGCATTATTCATTTCTGCATCAAGATACGGTTTTGTCTGTGGCTGCAGACCCAATGCGTAATGTGTTAACGGTTTCCAGCAAGGATAACAATGGTTAAGTCACACCCGATTTTAAAATTCTCATCTCCGTTTTCAAATCCCACTCCAGTTTCATCCCTCCCAGTTCTGTAAATCTCCAAGATCAGTTTTACACTTGTAACTACGTGAACAGAGAGCACAAAAGTGAGTGTGTGTGCGATGGCCAGATCTTAAGGAGAGAATTCCAGAGCTTTCAATCTAGCCAGCCAACAGAGCAAGGAAAAAGAAGTTGGGGGCATTTGCAAGAAGCAAGGACTGAAGGAGAACACAGGCCTCAAAGGAGATACAAGTTGTTTAAAAAATAGCAGGATCTATAAGACAGCACCAGAGAAAAACAATGAAATCCACAGAGGAAACACGAAGAAAGTGGTAGTGTTACATTAGAATCCATTGAAAACACTGGCAAACATATAATCATGACCAAAAGAGAGCACAAAACTATAAAGAATTAAACAACTAAACCAAAATGATTATCATTATAAACTGTAAAAATGTGGAGGATACAGGATTTCAGCTGATAGAAATTGTCAGATTCTAATTCACAACACCCATGTCAGCATCAGATCGTGCAAAACCCCAAGTCTTCAAACTGAAATAATGAGCCTCACCATGTTCATCAGCTCCTTCAACAGATCTCGTGACGGCTGGCCAAGTGTCTTCAGAACTTCATACAGCTGCGTGTAACCAATACGTTCTTTGAACACCTCCTGGTTTCAAAATTTTAAAAAGAATGTGGGAAAATTCAATGCAAAGTAATTGAAATACATTTAACTGGTATTAAGCATGTTAAAAAAACGTTCCCTCACTCTAAGGAACCCTTTGGAAAATCCAGAAATTAGTGGGGCAGTAATCAGTGCAATGGGAGTGCAAAGCTCCCTACAATGAAGCAGCAGGGTGTAAACTTGCAGCATTGATTTCCATATCTGAGCTAGCTTTTCATAAGACTGTGACAGTCATAGAAACTTCATATGGCTTTCAAAGAGGCAGCACAGTTCTGGTGGGCAGAATGTCCTTCATCATTCCACAGTTATTGCTCCCCTTCCCAGTCCCAATGTGTAAACACAACGTGTGGTGCTATTCTGAGAAAAATTGAATGCATTGGTTGGGAAGAGGGTGAAAACTATGCTTTTCTTTTAACTCAAGTCATTCAAATTGGAGCTTTATTTCTGTTTTCATTTTTTTAACAAGATTATGAACTAAGCTTACCTTAGCAGCTGGGGATTTGTGCATCACTGCAGTCAAAGCTTGGATCGTCGCTACAGCTAGACTATCCAGGCGACCCTGACACACCTAGAACATCAATTAGACTATTAAGATGCAACTAGCAAGGATACTGACCAGCGGAGGAATACTCATTCACCAGCTCTCTGTTCTCAAAATTGGAATACAAAGGTGAAGAACCAACAATATCAAGACTTGGCATTTAACTAACGTTTAAGAAGTGTAATATTATCACAATTGGGGTCATTCTGAGGGAACAACAACTACAAATTCCAGTTTTAAAACACTATTAATAGAAGTGGGAATCAAATGATCCAAAGATGGGTTACTAAACATTAGGTGGTACTGGTGACGAAAGAAACCTATCTTGAGATTTTGTAATTCAAAAAAAAAAAAACAGATATATCAGATTCAAATCCAGTGCTTAATTCGAGGCCTAAACATTGTTCTAGTTTGAAAGCATAGAATTGTTTGGCATGGGCTGAAAATGTAACCTCTTCTTCATTAAACACACAAACATTAAACCTCTGGCAGTAATGGTTCAGGATCGACATTACTATTGCTGCCAGTTCAGATCCTCCTGCCTAAAGTAAAGCCCACTCGTACCACGTGAAAAGCAACAAAGTCTATGTTGTGCCAGATTTCTCAATTTTGAATCACTGAAATAGTGGTATGTGGTATGCTTAAAGGAAGTCCAATAGAACATCACAAGACAATCTTGGGCAGACCACAGAGCAAAGTTTTAGTATTTCTCTTCTCTGCCGTCAGTTTTACACTATTACGCTTAATGAATTTTGGAGGGGTGAGATTTATAGCCACACTTGAACTGGTTATTGGCATTGTGCTAAAATAAATTTAACGAGGTGAAATGACAAATGCTTAGAAAGCTAGTAAGAATGACAAGTCTTGACAATACCCATGACCATACAAGACAAGCCTACAACAAATCTTCTGTAGCAAGAACATTATGCGGCATGCCACACCCACTCCCATTATTCACGTAAGGTGGCGGTGGTCAGCTTCGTAACGAAGGCCAGTGAGGAAAAATACGCACCTTTACAGTTACACCAGGATACATTTGATTCTTTTGTTTCCAATTGCTTTGCTTCCACATGCAGCAGCTAGAGTTAATGTCACAGACATGCCATCACATAATTAAATGAGGCTACTTAATGAGGCAATGTTAATCCGGAAAAAATATTTAGTTCTGAAAAGTTGCATTTTCAGTTGGCAATGTGAAAGTTTATTCAAAATTAAGTAAAACATTTCTGAGGACGGCAGAAACACTTAGACAAATTAAGTTAAATTGCAATACATAAATTTGGCAAGAAAACAGCCATACTTTTAAAGAGAGTGCACTGGCGTCACAAGGCTGGGCCTTCTAAAGGGGAAGTCCAAATTAAGAAGCAGGTAAATGGAATTAAGATATAGATCAGACATAATCTAACTGAATGGCGGAACAGGCCCTTGGGGTGGAAGGCTTCCTCCTGTTTCTAGGTCACGGAGATAAAAAGGAGTCTATTCATCAAACACTTTGTGAAACCCTCATTTTAAGATTTTGATCGCCACCTTTTAATGGTCTTCATATCCTAGGATGCTGAAATGGTGTCTTGAGCAACAGTGTATGAGAGAGCTCGACTGGCTCAGATTGTACACCATGAAAATGTCTGTGCCATCAACCTTGGATACACAGTCTGGTGGCCACCTAGGATTGTCCAATCTTGACTTCCGAGGAGATTCTGCAATCACCTCAACTGGCCTTTTGTTAGACTGACATGGCTTTATGAGAAGCCTAATTACTTTCTCTCTGGCCTAGGATGCTGAGCCACACTGATTTCAATTCAGCTGGCCCAGCATAGCCCACCAATGATCTTCGAAACCTTTCAATTCAGAACAAATCAGCAACTCACTGGATTATCTGACATGAGCACAATATAGAATTTGGTAAACACAAGAAGTACAGTAATGTGTCATTATTTTTAGTACCTTAAGTGTTTGTGCAATCCTCAGAAGTGAGTGATCAGCAGAACACCCAATAACTTTCAGGTTGTTGCTGCAACTCCTCACCAGACCAGGTCACTGTACTATGCGGGTAACACCAACAGTAAGCAGCAGGACATCATACACATCTGCCTGTGCACCAAACAACATTCAGCTTCACTGATCACAAAATTACCCACCCATCACCACAGTGCAGAGAAATCAAAGGTAAACCCTGCGAGATAATAGAAAAGTGTGCTTGGAAATGCCATGCCAGTATCAAACACCACATGCCAGCTTGCACATTAATTTTCAAGAGCCAACTCAGGGGTTTTGCCTTTCCTATAACCTATACTATTAATTATTAAATACTGAACAGGTGCTACCAAAGCATCCATTTTAGATGAGAAACAGTGAAAAAGTTTGAAATTCTTAGATTTTTTTAATTTGACAACAAGGTAATTTAAACAAAAATAATGTATCTTTATGCAGTGCCTTCAGTGTACAAAAACACCAAGATGTTTTATAGAGGCATGATCAAAAAGCATCAGACAGCAAAAAGGGTGCAGTAACTAAAGTTTGTCTGGAAACTAACTTTTGAAAGGGAGAGGAAATTAGTGGTTTTAAGCAGGGAATTCCATGTGCAGAGCGTAGCTGGTGAAAACAGAACTGCTAAGAAGAAACTGATGCACAAGTGGGCTAAAGTTAGAGACAGAGTTTTGGGAGGCAGCTAATAGGGCAGGAGAAAATTAAGGAGATATTGAGGAATGAGGAACAGACAAATTTAAATATGTGGATGGGAGTTTTAAAATTGGACACTGCTGGCAGAGAGCCAGTGTTAGTCATCAAACACTGGCTTGTGCGCTCGGGGTGTGGGCAGTAATGGGTAAACAGGAATTGTTGCAAATTGGGATACGAGCATCCATAGTTTTGAATGGGTTCTTGTATATGGAGTTAGAAGATAGGAGGCCAGGCAGGACAGCATTGGAAAAGTTGAGTATAAAAACGACTAAAGGCCTGAAATAACAATGGAGACAGGTGTCCTCTATGCAACAAAATCTCAATCATAATTTATAAACAGGTGTATAATTTGATTCTGAAAATATCTCTCTCAGCCCAGCATATCCCTTTTTGTTTATAGTTGAGAGTTTGCAAGAATGACCATAGACATTCCCTAAAGGTGCATGAAGGTCCATTATACAGTATATGAAATTAATTGAAATTGAACTCCCAAGTGAAATTAAATTTACAATCCTGAATACGCTAATAACTCTGTTACTCAGACTTTGGGTAGGTGCCCAAGGACTGTTACGTAATTTATTCTTTCACGGGATGTTGGTGTTTCTGGCCGGGCCAACATTTGTTGCCCATCCTTACGTTGAGGTGGTGGTGCTGGGGCCGCGTTTTTGAACACTACAATCCACACGGTGCCACAACAGTCACAGTTCCTTCAGGAAGTGAGTTCCAAGATTTTGAGCCAGCAACAATGTCAAAACAGTGACATAAATCCAAGTCAAGATAGTGAGAGACTTGGAGAGAACTTCCAGGTGGTGGTTTTCTCTTGCATCTGCTGCCTCTGTCTTTCTGCACTTTAGGAGGTCACTTGCTTGCAAGATGCTTTTGGGGCAGCTTTGGTGGATTCCTGCAGTACAGCTTGTAGGTGGTACAAACTGCTGCCACTGTATTGTATGTCAAATAAAGAACAAACAAAGACTATAAAAATTAAGTGGCTAATATGTGGAACAACAAGGTCAGTGCAGAGATTGTTAGACACTAGATTTTGTTTTGGCCTGTAGATGAATTTTCTTTTTAAATGTGTGTGGGAGGAAAAAGGAATAAGGTAACAGAGATTAAATGTGTGTAAAACTGAATCAGCCCACAATCAGGCACTACAAGGAGAGGCTTTTCGATACATTTTAAAACAAAAATAGTATTGGCCATTTTTGAGAAGGGAACGCAACAGACTGACTGCTACAAAGACAGAATAGGAGGAAAAAATTATTCATGTCTGTTTTTGATGTCCAGAACATATTCTCAGGCAATAAGAGACATGATGTCATCCTCTTGAAGACAAACCACGAATCCTGTGCCAAGTTCCAGCGTTGCTACTGGTATTTGAACACTCAGGGGCCCAGACTGAAGAGGCACATTCCTACTAAAAGCCTTAAGTGCTTTATTATGTGTTCAAGTTTGAAAGAATAATTTCTCAACTATACGCAGGAAAGCCTGCCTAGAGTTGCCACATTTGGGTTTCAGTTCACATCACAAAATAGTGGGATTTGCAAAAAAACAAAGATCCTAACTACCAGATTAGGCAAATGCTAAATGTCCACAATACTGTTTGAAGTAAAACAGGAACCCATTTTCAGGCCAACATTCCTTGCTCAACTGATGAAGTCCACCAGTCAAACAGCCCCAACATTTAACATTGGCAAGTTAGGCTAAATCTTTATATATCAGTGGGTAGACATTTGGAGTTCAATTCAGGACCCCACCCTTTAGAAATGATGCCAAGACCGTGAAATGATGCAGAGAGATTTTACAAGAATATACTGGGGTTGAGGCATCTCAGTTATCTGAAGAAAATGGGTTTTCTTTCCTCACATTGGAGGTGGTTATGGGGAGACTTGATAAACTGTTCAAAGGGATGAGGCAATATGATACAACAGATAAGGTCAAAATGGCTTTCATTGGCACAAGGGCCAAGAATCAGAAAACACATTTAAAATGATGGCAAAAGAAGCAGCAGCAGCAAAAGGAGATTTTTTTTTTCCCCGCTTTTGAAGTGTTATGATAATCTGAGATATACTGCATGACAGAGTGGTGGAAGCAGATTTGATATTTTCAGAAGGAAACTGGATACATATTTCAAAAAGGAAAAACTTGTAGATCGTTGCAGAAGAGCTAAATGTACAGCTCTTTCAAAAGATTACATTGCCTCCTTCTTTGATGTATCATTCTATGAAATCAGTATAATTTTAAACAGACTCACTTTGCCGTTTTAAGATCTTTATGGTCTATGCCTTCATATAATGTATATCCATCTTGTCAAGTCATCGTTTTTTTCATTGCCAATTGGAAAAGTTTCAAATGTACCTTTATTACATCATTAAAAAAAATTAAGGCACTGACAAAGTTTACACTGTTAGCACAGAAAGGGAAGTTTACAACAGGGGGAGCTCCAAAACATCATATGTATACTGGAGACTGGGATGAGTATGTAGCAAGTCAATATCACTGTGAAGCAGATTGGGAAGGGGAACCTACATGAGAAGGGCAGTGAGAGTGGGAGATGAAAGTCAATAGCAAAGAACGTTTTCACAAGAAAATGGGGTGGGTGACTGGTAGGTATTTCTTCCATTGCTTGTTTGATTGGCCAAATTTAAGTAAGGAGAAGTTATTACAAGTGAACAGTAAGTTAAAAGTGAATTTCTTAAGATCCAATTAAATAAATAGAAGAGGTGGCTAGGCAGGAAGTATGGTGCAGTGTTGTATATGGAAGCTGATGGGCGCTCATGTGATTCACAGTGACTACATCTGCAGTAAATGTTGGCCACTCAAGGAAATTTGGTTCAGAGTTAATAAGCTGCAGTCCCAGTGGTAGATACTGTGAGATATCAGAGATGGGGAGAGTTACATGGACACTGTTTTAGAAGACAGTCACAATTTTTTGATTAATTGCTCAAGAAAGGAGGGAGATACAAAGCAGGAAGCTATAGGCCAATCAGCCTAACATCTGTAATTGGGAAAATGCTCGAGTCCATTATTAAGGAAGAAATAGTGGAACATTTAGAAAATATTAATGCAATCAAATGGTCAACATGGTTCTGTAAAAGTGAAATAGTGTTTGACAAATTTTGTTGAGTTCCTTTTGATAATAGCAAGTAGTGTTGATTGAGAGGAATCAGCTGATGTAGTGTATTTGGATTTCTAGAAGGCAGTGTGGTGCCACAAATAGTTATTGCACGAGACAGGAACTCATTGTATTAGGGATAATGCATTAGTATGGATTGAGGATTGGTTAAAAACAGAAAACAGAATTGGGATTAATTGTTCTTTTTCATATTGGAAAAATATAACTAGTGAAGTGCCACAAGGATCAGTCCTAAGGCTCAATTACATACCATCTATATTAATGACATGGAGGAGAGGGCAAAGTGTAATGTATCCAAATTAGCTAAAAATCAAAAATAGGTAGGAGGCCATGTTGGGATGAGGACATAAAAAAAATCTGCAAGGGGGCGCACAAAAGTTGTGCAAACGGGCAAAGTCTTGCTAGATGGAGTTTAATCTAGAAAAATGTGTTGACACGCACTTTGGTTGGAAGAATCAAAAGGCAGACTATTATTTAAATGGAAAGACACTCCAAAATAAGTACAGCATATATGGGGATTGGGGTGTTCTTGTGCAAGAAACAAGAAGTTATCATGCAGGTGCAACAAGTAATTAGGAAGGAAAATGAATTATGAACTTTATTGCTAGAGGAACGGAGTTGAAGAATAGGGTAGTCTTGTTACAAGTGTTGGCTGTTGGTGTTGTGAGCCATACCTGGAGAACTGTGTAGTTTTGGTCCCCATATTTCAAAAAGAATATATTGGCATTGGAGGAAGTTCAAAAGACATCCAACTGACTGCTGGAATGAAGAGGTTGACTTATCAAAACTGGTTAAACGGGTTAGGCCTTTACTTGTTACAGCTGAGAAGAATGTCATGTGATCTTACTGAAAGGTAAAAGATTTTAAAGTATCTTAACAGGGTAGATGTCGAGAAGAACAATCCATTAGAGGGGATTCTTGAACTAGGCAACATAGTTACAGAATAAAGGGATACTCAGATCATAAATAAAAACCAAAAGAACTGCGGATGCTGCAGATCAGGATCAAAAACAGAAGTTGCTGGAAAAGCTCAGCAGGTCTGGCAGCATCTGTGAAGAGAAAATCAGAGTTAACGTTTCAGGTCCGGTAACCCTTCCTCAGACCTGCTGAGCTTTTCCAGCAACTTCTGTTTTTGATACTCATATCATAACTGAGGTATGAAGGAATTTCTTCCATCAGAAAAAGTCTGGAATTCTCTACTCTAGAGTTCTGGAGGCTAGATTACTGAAAGCCCTTAAAGAGGAGGTAGATAGATTTTTGAGATATTAAGGAATAGACGGCTCAGAAGAGCTGGCATGAAAGAGGAGTTTAGGCCTGGGGCAGATCAGCCATGACCTTACAGATTACACAGATGGCTTGAGAGACTGAAAGACCTCCTCCTGCTCCTATTTCTTATGTTCTTACCTATTTCTGAAATTTTGACCATATAACGGCAACCTATTGTAATAGCGATAGCAAACCAGGAACTAATGTGTGACACTGGATAATTTACAAATAAACTGGGCATCTAATTTGAGTTCGTTTTAAACAAATGACCTTCAGGGCTCTCATTCTTTAATGGATGCTTAAGAATTCTTTGAAGTAGGGTTTTGAAAGCGTTATTCGGTTTACTCAAGCTGAACACAGAGCAGTTTTGTTCAACAACATTGCTAGGGAACCAAAGCCCATGACCAAAATGCGTTCATAGTCTTATACTTGGAGTGGGCATTCCTTTCTTGACTCTCTTTCAGTGGGTGATCTAAAAACTCTAGTGACTACCTATGAACAAGGTAACCTGCTCCAAATTTTCAGATTTTCCAAAACAACTTTCTTTTAAAACTATTCACAACTTTGTGGGACTCATCTTTTGTTTAACAGTCTCACTGCCACCCATTTTTGAACCATAATCCCTTATGCCATTTAAGACTACATTCTGTTGCCTTTGATTTTGTATTCCCTGCTACAGTACCAAATAGCTTTTTACCATCACCTTTACCTTCCAGTTCTAATGAATGTCATTGAACTAAAACAGTAATTCAGTTTCTCGTTCTAGAGACTCGATCTGAGCTGATCATTTTAAGTGCTTTCAGTTTTTAATGCTGCTGTAACTAACTTGTTCAACTAAATTAGCAATTGCAAGGTCAGTGCGTTAAAGCACTTTTGGACTGGACCTCCAAACGAACCCTGGTGTAGATGACAGTTTGTTTTCTGATATTGTTTTCAAAGACCAAAGAAAACATGTTTGGGATAATCTCCATCTGATTCCTGGCAAACACGATGCACATTGCACAAAAGTAGTTCAAGTTTATGCGGCAGGAAAATCTCTGCAGATTTAAACAATTCAGATGCAAGTTGGTCAACCGGAGCAAATTAGACCTTGATCTGCTGTCTCCATTAGGAATTAATCCTAACCATGTGAGATGCATTAATACAAAAGAACAGTTTTAAAGATATATTTTGTTGGGGGATTGGGTGAAATGTGAGGTTAAATTAGAATCCTTTTAGACTTGGAGCCTCAGTTGAACTTAGGCCAAACTCATGAGTGTACATTTCTCATCTTTGCTACCTTTAAAGGTCTTAATGTTAAATGCTGTTGGATATCCTGATTCTGAACTTACTGATTGAGAAGTCAAAATGCTAAAAAAATTCTGTGTAGAATTCTGACTACCCCACATTTTGCCTAGCTAGGTCTCAACACTTACTAGCTAGCTCTTACTAGACAGAATAACTGGTGATGAACCTCAAAAGATATTATTCATTGCTTTTACTGTGTCAACTGATCTAATGCCACCTAATTAAAATCACAGTGGGTGGGGGATAGGAGAGAGAATATGACACGGTCCCTGGTTTGTGCTATCAGTGGTCAACATTGCATTTGCTTGCTTGATTAATAGTTGCATTCCAGTGTTTACTGGCCCATGATTACTTGCTGGTCAATAGGCTGGCTGTCTTGAGGCACATACTGACATGGCTGTCCCAATGCTAGTGATTTACAGCTGAAACAAGAATTCAGTTAATACCTGGTTCACATTCATTTCTGTCAGTAATTTGTTGGCAAGATCTTTCTCATTCTTGTCTGCTGCTTTACAACTTACAAACAGCTGTTAAATGAACACAACACAAGCATGAAAGGCGCGCAACAAGTAGAATTAATACAGTTGGGGCATGGGTTATTGAAAGAAAAACTTTTGTTAAGCCAGCGTAAAGCAAGTTGCTATTAGTTTACTGAACTAAACTTAGCCAACTCAAACAACGACATTCAGCAATGTAAAAAGTCAAACAATTCTTTTCTTTACTTCAGACCCTGATACTAAATTACAATCCTGACACTGCTGATTTAAAACCAAACCATATGATGTGGTTGTGACTGTAAGCTGAATTCAGAAATTCATATGCTACACAGCAGCAACATTCTTGGGACAGCACCCAGCCATATGCAATGAACGATGCGTATTCTCCAATGGAGTGGGCCCCATTTTCCAGACATGTCAGGCTCACCTGCTTTTTGTTCCCAGAACAAGCTCCTAAAAAACAGTATATTTTGCCTTCTCCTTCCATTGTAGGTTCTCCCCTTAACAGAAAGTCCTAAATGGCTAAGTAACTTCAGCTTGTAATGCGCCACTAAGTATAAGGTAACAGAATCTTTGTACGAGCACCAGAGTTTTGGGGTGTGCACTGGTGACTAAAACAAGTTCACTGGAAACACCAATCCCAATTAATATCCAATGACCTATGGTATAAAGAACACATACAAAGAAGAATGAAGTTGGTTGAACAGGCTGTTAACATTCACATATGAAGAATGAAAGCTGCATGAGATATTAAAGATCAATAATTAGCATGCCATCACCACCAGGAGACAAACAGAGATCAGAATTTATATAAAAGTCATGTTCATGTTGTAGCATGTGGGTGAAAAGCATCAACTTCCTACACAGGCCTTGGCTGGAAAGAAAGGTAAGCAGAAAAAACATTTCCACAGAAAAGTGATGAAAGAGAAAAAACGATGAGGCTGGCTTTGATCTGGCTTTGCAAGTGAAGCATTCTGTAACATAGACAGTAGTTTGGGACTGGTCAAGCCTTCCAGGGAATCATACGTAATATGGGAGCTGGAGAGGCCCATGAAGACAGAAAAATTCCAAGAAGAGTCATGTCACTGCTTTTTAAAAGACCTTTTGTCTGGATACTTTAGCTTGATATGTCTGTTCTGTCTCACTCAAGAACACAGTCTTAATTGTATGCAGGCCACAGACAAGCAAGAAAATTTCAAGGCATTCTCCATTGCTGAGTGATTCCACTATTAAATGAAAGGGTTAAGTTCAAATGTTATATGTTAGCACAGAATGAAATTAAACTAGCTAGTAATAAAGAGCAAGACTGACAGTTCACTCCAAACAGAAGTTCAACACAGATCAGGCATTCATCCATATTAGTCCAGGAAATAAAAAAAAAATTACTAGTTTGAAATAGTTTATAGTTTGCCACTGATTCATTTTCCATCCCAGGTCTGAATCTCCTTTCTGTCTGGTTGACCAGAATAATTAATGGCCCACACAACCGAGAGTCACAAAGTAAAGGACCTTGCAGTAACACACTAAGATACAACAAAATACAATAAAACTTACAAAACCGTCATACGTAAACATGTGATTGAATCACAAACAGTCACCAGACCATTTTATTGCTCAACATTCACTATTAAAACGGGTACAAGGTCAATGTATTCTACTCAATTCTCCTACAGCTCAACTGCTGTGATGGAAGATGTTTGCACAATTACCAAAGGCCCTTAGCTGTGAACCAGTTTATGCATTAAAGTTGCTGGTGAGAATCAATGTATTTTGTTATAGCATTACAACAACAAAATACTCTGCGCTGCACATAACCTCTTGCTTATAGAACCAAAGTTGGCAACTGAATTCACAAACCGGCAGCCTCTGTGACATCAGCATCCAGTACTTAAAAGTGGGAAACACTACAACTGGGCAGATTATTTCCCAGTATAACTTAGAGGAGTTCATGGAAATTCAACGAAGTACAGCTTTGAAGCTGCAGCCCTGCAAAATAACTTGAAATTCAACAGTAACAAGTAGAAGAACAAAACACCTCATGCTTGTGGATCTCCCACACACTTGTAAAGGAACTATAATGACTTGTCATTACAAGTGAGATTCTTAATTTTTAATACCAGGGTCACAATAATTGAAAGATTTAAAACTAGCATTATGACTGAACTGAGAAAAAGACTAGGGTTCGTGCCAAAACTGTTAATTAAGCTTCCTTTGGGGAGTAATATTTGTTTTGCATTTAAATGCACAAAATCACGTTTTAAAATCTAACACATCAATCTTTCAATTTAGGCCATAACTTGTAACTTTGCACATTGTAGCTTTACTGTTATTTCCTTTCATGACCTCTGTTGGTTACGTCAAGGGGGAAAAAATAACTATTAATTCCCACCATGGAGTAATCCAGCACTCTCCTATTTCAGAGACAACAAGGTGCAAGGCTGGATGAACACAGCAGGCCAAGCAGCATTGCTCCTATGATGCTGCTTGGCCTGCTGTGTTCATCCAGCCCTGCACCTTGTTGTCTCGGATTCTCCAGCATCTGCAGTTCCTACTATCTCTCCTATTTCAGTCTTACAGGGAAGGGGAGGGGGCACACAGAATCGAGGGGAATAACAGCAGTAAAAGTAACAACTAGAAGAAAGAGGAAAAGGGATACAGAGCAAGGCTGGAGAGAAAGAGTGACCAACCAGAAAGAAAGTATAGGAGAGACGGGGTGGGAGCTAAAGAAGAGAGAGAAAAAGAAAGAGGGGAAGAAAATACTGGGAAGAAGGGGAGAAAGGATGTGAAGGTTAGAAAGACAGAGGAGCAGAGGAAAGGTCTGCCTAACTTTTCTCACTTAAATTCTTGGATTATCAAAGGAAGCAACAACAATATAGCTTTAGTCAATGTTCCATTAGAACTCTTCAAAAACTACGACTTTGAATTTACAACTTCATCAATAAACCAGATTGTAAAAAACTTTGTTAAACCTTTTTCAAGGCTTACAACATTAATATGGGCACGCCATTGAAATTATACATAACATGGATAACCCAGCAGTACCTAAAGCTTGAATAAATATCCTAGATCTATGGTGCTGGCTCATCACTATTCTTAAATCACTTGCACAACACTCTTCAACAGTTGTGTAAAAGTGCTCCTGTACATTTAAAAAACACAATTAGCATGGAGATTCCGGGCTAGACTCTAAGCTGGTCAGTGTGATGCACATAACTGACAATCTGTTTGTCCACCCAAAGTTTCTCGTACTGATATACATTGTGAAGGGGGAGCTATTTTACATAGAAGGACGACACGCTGATCACTGGATTGCCAATGTACCTCAGCAATATACCAGGAATATAATCCTGAACGTTAATTTCTGACTGCATTTTAGCTTAATAATTGAAAGCTGCAGATTCTTCTTTCCAAGATCTAAACAGGCTGTTGTAAAGAGGCTAATTTACAACTCAAAACGTAATATCAGCAAGTTATTAAATACTGAATTAAATACAGCCCCATGTTCATGTCATAATTGCTGAGATTATTTTCTCCTAATTATCACTATCTTGAAAAAAATGCACCTAATCAGTCTGTTCCAGACAAGTCAACTATCCAGTCATTGCAAACACACTTGCGGTTCAATCTCATATTTTCTAACCAACCTGTTCAGTGATTATAAGGCACACCTCTGTGTTCAGGTGGGGCATGAACTCAGGCCTCCTGGTTCAAAGGCAGGGGTACTACCACTGCACCACAACAACCCTGTCATTTAATTCAATGGCACTCAAAGAATTTGAGTGTCATTTAATTCAATGGCACTCAAAGAATTTGAGAGTACAACAAATAAACCTGTTTAACAAGGTCAACCGAAAAAGCTCACATAATCAACCTTTTCAATTAGCCAACAGAACAGATTGAAAAGTCAATGATCACAGCCTCAAGGTAATTCCTGGGCAACTAGCTCACTTCCAGGCTTTAACAATGATGGTTTTATTTCAATCAAGCCATCTAGAGGCTGCTGCAATACAATAATGACAATGTGACTATTCATGTCTTTTGAGTTTTAAAATAGCATGGCTATTGGTCACTGGGCAATTATTATACCAGTCACTGCCTTATACAAATTTTTAGTAAAATTATGCAAGCGCCATTTTACCAAGTCAATATTCATAAAGGTGTAAAAAGATTTAAGGGGTGTTCCAATGTGCTACCATAAAGCATAATTATTCTGCAATCTTAACCACTCCAAGGCAGGAAGTAGTGCAGAGCAGAAAAAAAGCACTCCTCTCCAGTAGAAGCTTAACTTGGCCACCTACTGTACAAACCTTAGTGAAAGGGCTTTTGTGGTTCAGTGGCAATGCTCCTACATCTAGGCCAGAAGGTCTGGATTCAAGTCCCACAGGTTCCAGAGGTGTGTCATAAAATGTTTGAACAGGTTGATTAAAAATATAAACTTTAGTAGGTTTGCACTGGGCAAGATTAGCCTCCAGGCAGCTTAACTATCCACACTCACAGGTGAGCACAGTGCCTGCTGCAATAAAGAGAGGCCGAGAAGAAAATGAAGAGCAGGATGTTCAATAACTTAGCATTTCATTCAGAATATTTGCTTGCACTAAATAAAGCAGCTGAGCTGGGAAGGATTTTCAATCAATTTGAAAGTCTAGTCCAGTTATATCCACCTACAATGGTTTAATATTACAATATCCTTATCCTAACTTTATCCTGAATTCAAACTTGTCCCCGAACCTCAAGAGCTGCAATCAGATCATTTCAATGATTTTGGAACAAAAATTTTCAGGCAGAGCGCAAGTTCTCATTTCTGTTCTATCCATTTCAACATTAGTCTATAAAAAAAAGAGAAAGTGGTAACTGCAGCGTTAGTCAAATCAAGGCAAATAATCACTCTGGTGCAGTTGGGAGTCTACCTTGCTGTTCTGTATGAGTCGAGTAAGATGTTCAAAGCAGTTGCTATTCAAGAAGATTGCCTGAAGGACTGGTCTGTCAGGGCAGTTTAACATTTCTGGAATAGTGTCTGTGGGGAGAAAATTCAGATATTTGTAGTTTTCAACAAAGAAATCATATGGAAAAGGTCCCTTCCCTAAACGTTAGGCTTTACCCCCACTTTCATCCTTCAAGACATGCTTGAAAACCTAACTCTGACTTTCTTGTGGTAGTATATCATTTAAAATTCAGAATTCCATGCATTAAATACATCAATAGCTCTCCCACCTATAAGCAAAAGACAGTCAAAACAGGCCCTACGTATACTCACTCAGCATTTGTATCTGTAGTGCAATGAAACTACTCTCCCAGTTCCGCGATCTGCGATTGACCAGCAATGCGGTGTGATCAGAATTGAGCAGCTTGAAATAATTCTCCAGGATTGTGCTGATTTCTACCTGCCGCTGATCAGAGCTGCTGGTTAGTAGCACATGAATCACTTCCGTCAGGCACTTCAGGGTCAGCTCCAATTTATGGCTTACATCATCTGGGTCTTTGTCATCCAACAGATCACAGTCTGCCAATACCCTCATCAAGACTTCCATTGTAGCTGGGGAGATTGCCTGAAGTGCATTCCGCTGAAATTAAATGTCATATTATTCTTTATAAATAACTCAATGAATGCTGCATCCATGGCCAAACTGAATATAATTCTACCAGTTCCTTTTGCTTTGAAACAACTTCCCAATCACACGTGACTGACTTCTGAAGTTGGACTGCATCTATATGAACTGGCTGGTCAACTTGCTAAGTGCAATGGCATAACCTTCAAATCTTGACATTTATGTTTAGGTTCCATGTTAAAATGCTTACATGGGTTTTGAACTAAGATACAAAGTTGGCAAAGTTTTAAACTTAGAACAGTGATAGGACTGTATTTTCATTCAATTGTTCTGAAAGACATGCTCTAACATTGCAAAGTCAACCAAGATTTAAAAGTACTGACTTTAGTAAGCGATTACAAAGGTACCATCTTATAAGTGGGTCACCCTTGACACTCAGGGTTAAACCTCTTCTAGCCAGTTGGGGAAGGTGGAGACCGGAAGCCAACCTTTACTTGATTTTGGATGTATTCCCGAATCACAAGTCTGGTACCCAGTAAAGCAATATTTTAAAGTTTTCAGAGATAGTAGGAACTGTAGATGCTGGAGAATCCGAGACAACAAGGTGCAGGGCTGGATGAACAC